AACGTGGGATCCTGGGTTGAATCCTGGACTAGAAAAAGGACATCAGTGAAAAAATTGTAGATTACCATTGCATTACATCAGTGATCATTTCCTGGTTTTGATCACCATACGATTGCATAAGATGTTAATATCAGGGCAAGCTGGTGAAGAATGTACTAGTTTTTGTAAACTTTCTGTAAGTCTAAACATTTCAAAAGAAAAAGTATGTTTTTAAAGAGGGAGAGAGAAAAGTATAGGAATGTTCTTTGCTGGGAACATTCGGGAAATGAGAAAAACTCAGTGAAAAACTGGAAACAAGAAAAGTAGTTATCTGTAAACAACAGATTGAAAGAATTACAATCCCTTCACAGATTGGAATGCAATGTGGCTGGTGGAAAGAATGAGTAAGACCTGAATTTAAGAACACGAAAAGATCTCTAAGATATATATACACATATATTTTTGCAGCTCTGCTTCATTTCTTTTTTCAGGAATAGACTTTATTTTTATATCGGTTTGAGATTACAGAAAAATTGAGCAGAAACTACAAATAGTTCACATATCCTCCCTTCCACACACATACACACAGTCTTTTCTATTATTAACATCTTACATTAGTGCAGTATCTCTAGGATATATTATTAACAGGAAAAATCAATAAAAAGAACTGTAAGTATAGTTTAGATCCCTTTTGAGCAATTTTTAAAGTATATATAGAATGGAAATATATATATATGCTAACATGTGCATAAAGCTCTTTTTCTGGGAAGAATCACAAGAAATTATCAGCAGTGGGGAAGAGATGGTTGGGGAGAGAGATGGTTTTCCCGGTATAACTGTACTGTCTGTATTTTCTAATTCTGTTTTAAAATATGACTTTAACATTAATTATCTGGTAGTTATGATTATAAACCTTTTTATTTTCTTCTTTACCCTTCTTTGTATATATATTTTTATCTTCCCTTCTTTTCTTGCCTTCTCTAGTTTTAATTGTGCATTTTCTATGATTCCACTTTTTCTCCTCTCTTAAAATATCAATTATGCTTCTTTCCAAAACTTTTTTAGTGATTGTCCTAGAGTTTGCAATATACGTTTACAACTAATCTCAGTCCACTTTCAAATAACACTGCACCACTTCCTGGGTTGTGCAGGCACCTTTTAACAGAATATTTCCAGTTCCTCCCTCCTGTACCTTCGGACATGGTTGTCATTCATTTCACTTATCCCTAAGCTATAATCATCCAATACATTGTCGCTATTATTGCTTTGAATAAAGTTATCTATCAGATCAATTAAGAATAAGACTTTATTTTACCTTCATGTATTCCTTCTCTGCAGCTCTTCCTCTCTTTATGCAGATCTAGTTTCTGACCGATGTCAGTTTCATTCCTAGCAACAAATAATCGTTCAGTTTTTGTTTTAGAGAGTCTATTTCTTCCTCACGTTTTTATTTGCTTATTTATTTTTGGCTGCTGATCAGTACAGGGATCCAAACCCTTGACCTTCTTTACCTTTGAAGGATGATTTCACTGAATACAGAATTCTAGGACAGTGGGTTTTTTCTCCCAACACTTTAAATATTTCACCCCATCTTCTTCTGGCTGACATAGTTTCTGACAAGATGTCAGATGTCATTCTGATCCTTATTCTGCTGTTGGTAAGGTGTTTTTTATCTCTGACTTCTTTCAAGATTTTTTTGTCATCTTTGATTTTCTGCAGTTTGAATATGATACGCCCAGGTGTAGATTTTTCTAGTATTTGTCCTGCTTGGTGTTCTTTGAGCTTCCTGGATCTGTTTTGGTGTCTGTCATTCATTTTAGAAAATTCTCAGCCTTTATTACTTTAAATATTTCTTCTCCTTTCTCTCTCTCTCTCTCTCTCTCTCTCTCTCTCTTTTTCTCCTGATATTTCCATTACATGTATGTTACACCATTTGTAACATACAGTTTTTGTAACACAGTTTTTGCATATTCTGCTCTATTCTTTATAATAATAATAATTTTGCCAGCTGCTGGTATAGGGGCTGAAGCCTGGACCTTGGTGTTATCAGCACCATGCTGTAACCAACTGAGCTAACAAGCTAACACACTTCTTACTTTTTCTCTCTGCATTTTAGTTTGAGATGTTTCTATCGACATCCCTTCACACTCAGACCCCTTCCTCAGCCATGTCCAGTCTACTGAAGAGCCCACCAAAGGCGTTCTTCATTTCTGATACAGTGTTTATTTCTAGCTTTTCCTTTTGATTTTTTCTCAAAGCTTCCATCTCTCCATTTACACTGCCTGTTAGTTCTCGCATGTTGTCTACTCTTTCCATGACAACGCTTAACACTGTTAAAGAAAAAGGTGGATCCAAACACTTGTTAAAGATGGGAAGACAGTTTTTATTTAAGGGAGGCTGTGGCAGTAGGGATAGGGGACACTGCAAAAGGGTCTTGCAATGGGGGAGAGAGATTGGACTCAACTCCAATCTCAGCAAGCACAAGTGGGGATTTGTAACCAAGGAGCAGGGCGGGGGCTCAGTGGATGGGAAATTACTAAGAGGAAATATCAAGGGTAAGGGGTTTCTGGCTGAACTGACTCAACAGGATTATTGCTGAAGGCAGGCCAGAGCGATAAAATATCGAGGGTGGTCAGATTGCCAAGGGTGGAGGATTTTTGGTAAAGTGATTTAGCAGGATTCTTGCTCAAATTGCATTCTACAAGGAGACGGAGTGAATCCTCAAGTAGAGGACTCAGAGGAGCCTGTCTAAATTTTTGGTCAATGGAGGGAGGGAGCCTTTGTCAACATATTAATCATAGTTATTTTAAATTCTTGACATGATAATTCCTAACTCTACGTCATATTTGAGTCTGGTTCTCACGCTTGCTTTGCCTTTTCACACTGTTTTTTTTTTTTTTCTTGTCTTTTAGCACATCTTGTAATTTTTTGTTGAAAATCAGCCATAATGTATCTGATAATAGAAACTGAAGTATTCAGATTTTTAGTGTGAGATTTTATGTTAATCTGGCTAGGAACTGGGCTGTCTTTAACGCTTGCTGTAGCTGTAGATGCCAGAGGCTTCAAATAAATTCCTCCAGTTCCTTGTTGTTGTTGATTTTTCCTCTCCTGTTGTCTTTGGTTTTCCCTAAGTTTTTGTCTTGCATCTCTCTGAATTGTAATCCACTGTTATACCTGTGGATGTGGTGGCAGGGTATTGGGAATGAGAAGCGTTCTATAACCTTGTGACTAAATCCTATGTGGTTTTTCATCATTGTTTTTTAAGGGGGCCTGAATCCCTGAGCTGTGACCTCCAGAAGAATTTCTTAGCTTTTTAAATTTCTCCCCCTCCCCTTATGTGACAGAGGAGGCTGGAGCTGTCAAATTGCCCTTCTCTCCAGATGGGAAAAGACTTGATGGAGTTTTCCTTGAGGGCAGGCTTTTGTCAGAGACAAAGATCTGGGAATATTCTAAAATGGTTATTTCCCCCCCACCCCCCCAGAAGCATGAGGGCTTTTTCTCTAATCTTCACTGTGAGAATCTGGTAGGGTGTTGGAGATAAAACCCACAAAAAAGTGGGGGCCCCTCCTAAGGCTAGGCCCCTAGGAGCTTTCACCTGTCAACCTCACCCACACAGCCTCCAGCAATCACCGTGTGACTACCAGTGACTGGCTCCAGCAGTTTCTGCTCCCCCAGGAGGCTTGCCTTTAGCTGTGATTCTCTCCTATCCAGTTTTTAGGGTGATGGTTTACTCTGTGACATCAATCCTATGATGGATCTAAGACAAATCATTGATTTGCAGCTTGTTCAGCCTTGTGAAAATGGAAGAGATAACTTCCAAGCTCTTCACATGTTGGAACTGAAACGGAAGGGTGTGTGTGTGTGTGTGTGTGTGTGTAGAGAATTTTTAAAAACATTTTTGGTCAGCAATGACAGTTCAGCTAGGACCGAAGGAGGATTGGGAAAGGGAACGGGTGGAGGGGCCAGCCTTGAGTAGCAAGGAGGCCCCCAGCTATTCTGACTCACACCCAGTGCTTTTCCCTCTGTCCCTTGTCACCTCCCTGTTCACTCATTATTTCTAGCATTTTTTCTTATTATTATTCTTTCTTAGCCTGATTTGATAACTCTACTGTGTCCACCTGGGCTGTTGAGTTGGAGGCCATTTCCACCAAGCAGATGCTGTCTGGAGTCTGTGCTGGGAATGGAGAGAGGGGTACGATGAGGCTCCTCTTCTCTTCGAATAAAGTTGTTTGGGTCTGGTTGGTGATTCTTGGAGAAGAGACCTCCGAGGAGAGCTCTGGTCCCTGGGTGCTGCCACACCAGCCCTGAGAAAGGCAGGTGAAGATCAGAGCCAGTGTCCTGTTGGCTGCTGTATGTCCTCACGTGTGTTAGGCACTCTGCTTTGATAGCCCACCCTGTACAATAAGCATTATTATCCTCATTTCACAGACACGAAACTGAGGCTCAACGGGGAGGGTGCTCATTTGCCCAGTCTCCAGGCAGAAAGAAAGGTGCAGGGCTGGAATTCAAACCCCCATGTCCTAATTTTAGGTCTGAGCTCCCCCCCTTCTATCCCCACCAAGGCCCAGGCCGACCCAGTGTGACAAAGCCATGCTCTCTGTGGCCTCAGTGCTGGCATCTGTCCTCTCGCATACATGCAGATGCTGTGGGTGACTTAATGGCAGGCCTGGTGGAAAGTTGGCCTGGAGCCTCCATTGTCTCAGCGGTTTGTAATCTGGTCCTGGGCAGGGGACTGGGGGTGGAGGCCACTTTTCGTGGGAACTCAGGCGAGGAGGGAGTGTGAACTGCCAGACTGGGACCCAGGCCAGGAGAGCAAGAAGAAAGCTGGGGCCTCGGCCAAGGCTCCAGGCTCTCAGGAACATCCAGCTGGATGGGGCCTCGCAGGCTGGGCCAGATGTGGGCCGGGGAAGTCAAAGAGTTGCTGGGGACTTGTTGTCTGCAGGGGAGAGAGACAACGAGTAAACTGACATGACAACATAGAGGGCGAAGCGCTGCCATCTGGGTGGAACAGGGGCCTCTGGCTACCCAGGAAAGGAGCGATCCATTGTGAGGGGCCAGAGAGGCTTGGAGGAGAGGACTCCAGTGTTCCAAGACCCAAGGGATGAGCAGAAATTGGCCAGGGCGAGGAGGAAGAATGGCCTTCTGGTGGAGGGAACAGCAGGTAAGAAGAGCGTATCGATGAGGAAATGCCTGACCCATTTAGGGGAGTTGCTAGTAGTTCCATCTGCCCCAGTTTCAGATGTGAAATACAGCATAGCTAGAAGTGACGCTGCGGATATGGAAAAGGTCCAGGGTCCAGAAGGCCCTGATGCCAAATACTGCATGGGACATATTCATTCAAAACAAACAAACAAAAATCATTGTTTATCTGAAATTCAAATTGAGCCAGACATCCTGTATTTTTATTTGCTAAATCTGGCAACTCCAGCCTTGGGGGACATTTGGACTCAATTCCTAGGTCGTGGGGAGCCATCAGAGGCTTTTTAGGCAGGAGAGGATAGGATCAGCTTTGCATCTGAACAGGAGATGGACAGCAGATGGACAGAAGGAGGCAGGAGATAGGCTGGGAGGCTGAGGCTGGGGCGAAGAGAGGAGCCACAGGGGTGAAGAGTGAGCGAGGCTTTTTAGGCAGGAGAGGATAGGATCAGCTTTGCATCTGAACAGGAGATGGACAGCAGGATGGACAGAAGGAGGCAGGAGATAGGCTGGGAGGCTGAGGCTGGGGCGAAGAGAGGAGCCACAGGGGTAAAGAGTGAGAAGGAGCCACAGGGGTGAAGAGTGAGCGGACAGAGGGGGATTAATTAAAGAGGTAAAACCCGTGGGCCTTGGAGACCAACTGGGTGTGAAAATTGAGAAAACGGAGCCATCAAGGATGACATCCATGTTTCTGGGCAACTAGACAGGTGGTGGTGACTCTTTCTGAGCTAGGGCCAAAGGATGGGAGGCAGGTTTGGGAGGAGTTCGACATGTGGCATCTGGGTGGCCCAAGGGCCATCCAAGAAGAGGAGTTCTGGAGACAGCTGGAGATGTGGGTCTGGAATCCAGGCAAGAGGGCAGCGCTGGACGTCGACATTTGGAAAAGGTCAGCCAGCCTTTGGAGCGAAGTTGAAGCTATGGGAATGGCCGAGCACACTCAGGGAGCACGTGCAGCAACGAACCCTGAGAACCAGCAGCAGCTCCGAGGGAGCAGAAGGAAAAGAAGCCGGCAGATGAGATCCAGAGGCGCAGGCCAGAGACGTAGAGAAATGCAGGAAGGGTCACCGGGACACTGTTCCCCACTACCGAGCTCAAACAGCAGAGTCGGAAGGAGGTGAGTTTCAGCAGTCTCCAGCACTAGCAAGACATCAAGTGACATGAGGAAAGAATACAGCCCACCAGATCTGGCTACTGGAGACCTGATGAAGGGAGTTTCGGGGAGTGCTGGGGACAGAAGCCAGGTTGGAAGGGCCGAGGAGAGAGGGTGCAGACAACTCTCTCCTGTGCTTTGGCCACGAGCAGCTTAAACAGAGTGCATTGGCTGCAGGCGTTATCCTCTTCTTCCTCCTCTTCCTTCTCAGACCCCACTAACCTGACAGTAAAGGAATAAAGTAGGTCAATCCAACCCATTGTGACAACAAAGCCAGGGGAGGAGGCAGCAGCAGCAAAGAAGATTTCAGCAAACCTTTAGCAGAGGGGATGCTCACCGAGCAGGACCGGGTAAATTAGTGGCTATCACCTTAAGTGCCCGCAGAGGAGATACCGACCCCAATTTGTCTTGAAAAGTCCCTGAGAGGCCCAAGTCTTGGAGGGAACAGGTCGGTTGGAAGTCTGAACACAAAGCAGCTGTCTCCCAAGCCTTCTCCCCCATCCCATTGTTGGGGCCCAGAAAGCAATACCCCAAAGTGAAGATCTCAGAAGCAGCCTCAAAAGCAAAGATTTCCTCTGACCTTCTCCTGATCCTCCTGTCTCCTCTTCTGAGGCAAGTCATAGAATCTGGAATCCCTGTTCCCCAAGGTGGGTCATAGGTATGCTCTAATCTTCCCCTCTTACCTTCCTGTCATGGAGTGGGCCGTAAAGAAATTCCCCAACCTTCCTTGTCTGATTGTAGGTCATCAGAAAGATTGTAGGTCATCATTCCAGAAAGAGTCCTGCCCCATACCCTGGAGGAATAAATGCTACTCAGGGAGGCCAAAAAGAACCTGAACAGACAGGCGTTGCTGGGTTTCCTCACTGAGTCTATTAGCATTAAAGCATACTTTTCTTGTCCATTCACATTTCTACATGGCTGTGCCTGCTTCAAAGAACCTAAGCATAAATAGGGACAATTTACCGTATATCTTTGGGTCTTCACCCTGAAGACTGCTGTGTCATGTAAAACTATGATCAAATAAAATTTGCTATGCCTTTTCTTCATATTAATCTGTGTTTACCAGGCGATTTTTTAGAGAACCTTCAGGGGGTTGAAGGGGATGTCTTCCCTTGACCCCTAAACCATGCAGTCAAATGACTATACCCACAGGAATTGAACCAAAAAGGCCCCAGACCTGCAAAAGCCCAGGCACGGTAGAGAACAGGACTGCAAACAGAAGTTAAGGGATGTGCATTCTGAAACCAACTGAACTAACCAGCCACCCCAACTAGTGTGAATGCTGGATGTAATTTTTAAAAACATCTTTTGGCAACTGGCTGGTACAGGGATCCAAACCCATGACCTTGGTGTTATAAGCCTGCGCTCTAACCAACTGAGCTATCCGGTTAGCCCTGGGTGTTCTGAACAATGGGCCTTCCAGCTCTCTTTCCCTGGCCTGTTCCCAAAGTGCCAGTGGCCAGAAGTGTACCCACTGTGTCCTATGCCACGCAAGAGATTGGAAGATTTTTCTTTCCAGTTACTAGGTCCCGAAGAATAGACCTTCACTGATGAGGATGATGACGGTGGTGATGATGATAGTTCTGCACACCCTTCAATCTCCTTTCAGTGGAACCTGATCATGAGCATCCAGCTTCTAACCACCCCTTTGAAGCTTCTCTTTTAAATGTGAATATTCAGCTAAGACCACCTGGCGTAAGAAGGGCCTAGGGACTAATTTCCACCAGTGTGTGTTCATTCACTCTTCCTTTCAGTTGCAGAACCTATAGGGCAGTTTTTGGTTTTGAGGTTTTTTTTTTCAAGCTTACCCGTTTTATTTATTGACTTGGTGGGCAGTTTAATGAGTTTTAACACAGGTATGTATGCATGCAACCCCCACCCCAATCAGGATATAGAACAGTTTGGTCACCACGAAAATCCTTCTCATGCATCTCCTCTGTATATATGTACATCCTCCTCCACCCCTAACTCCTGACAACCACTGAGCTGTCCACCGTGCTTATAGTTTTGCTCCTCCAGAATGGCATACATCTGTGTGACCTCGCCCTTGAGGTCCATGCAAATTGTTGCTTGTACAATAGCTCACTCCCCTTTACTGCTGAGCAGTGTCCCTCACATGGATATGCCACAGCTTGTGTATCCAGTCATCCATTAGAGGACATCTGGGTCATTTCCAGTTTTTAGCGATTATGAATAGAGTTGCTGTACGCATAAGTGTACAGACTTTTGCATCAAATTTTCCTTTTTTCAGAGTAAATACCTATAAGTGGAATTGATGGTTATATGGTAAGTAGAGGTGTAATTTTATTAGAAACTGCCAAAATGTTTTCCTGAGTGGCTGTACCATTTTGCATTCCTACCAGCCGTGTAGGAGAGTTCTAGTGGCCTAAGATCCTTGCCAACACTGGGTATTTTTATTTTTTATTTTTATTTTAGCCATTCTAATAGATGCAAAGTGATATTTCATTGTTGTTTTAAATTGCCTTTCTCTAATAGCTAATGACATTGAACACCTTATCATGTGCTGATTTGCCACCCATATATCCTCTTTAATGTAGTCTTTGTTGAAGTCCTATGTCCATGTTTCAAAAATTGGGTTTTTTCATCACCTTTCAGGTTTTTAAAAATTATGGTAAACATACATAACATAAAATTGAGTATATTCACATTGTGGTGCAGCACATCTCCAGAACTTTTTCATCTTGGAAAACTAAAACTCTATACCCATTAAACAGTAATGCTCCATCTCCCTCTCCCCCCAGCTCCTGGTATCCACATTCTATTTCCTATTTCTGTGAATCTGACTACTTTAGATACCTCATATAAGTGGAATCATATAACATTTGTCTTTTTGTGATTGGCTTCTTTCACTTAGCGTAATGTCCTAGGGAGGTATTAAAACAAAGCCCCCAAATTCTTTGACACTCCTCCCGCCGAGACGTGGGGTCTATCTCCCCTCCTCTTGCATTTGGGTTCTGTGTCTGGTTGGCAAATAAAATACAGCACAAGTAATGCTGTGCCATTTTCCAGGCTCAAGCCTTAAGAAACTGGCAGCTTCCAGCTTCCACCACGCTGTGAGGAAGCTCAAGCATCCACGTGGAAAAGCTGACAGCCCATCTAAGATCCCAGCCAATGATTGCAGCAACAACCAGACATGAGAATGAATGAACCTCGAGATGACTCCAAACCTCACTTGTTGAGTTATCCTCCACCTTTGAGACCTCCACCTGAGGGAAGGAAGAGAAAACTGTATCAGCAAAGGCAGAAATGTTGGAAAGAATAAAACCTGTCCAAGCAAATACTGCAATGATTCCTCTTTTATGAGGTATCTAAAATAGTCAAACTCATAGAAGCAGAGAGTAGAATGGTGGTTGCCTGGGTCTATGGGGAGGGGAAACAAGGGGAGTTTTTCGATGAGTATAAAATTTCACAGTTATACCAGATGAATGAGTTCAGGGGCTGGCTGGTTAGCTCAGCTGGTTAGAGCACAGCCTTATAACACCAAGGTCAAGGGTTCGGATCCGCACACCGACAGGCCATCAAAAGAAAAAAGAAAAAAAAGATGAATGAGTTCAAGAAATCTGCTGTACAACATAGCACCTATAGTTGACTATACTGTAGTGTGCACTTTAAAAAAATCTAAGAGGGTAGATCTCATGTTAAGTGTTCTTACCACAGAAACAAAAACAAACAGAGGTGTACAAGGAAACTTTTGGAGATGATGGATATGTTTATTACCTTAATTGTAGTGATGGTTTCGTGAATGTGTGCATATATCCAGACTCATCAAATTGCATACATTAAATACGTGCAGTTTTTTGTAAATCAATTATTCCTCAATAAAGCTATTACAACAACAAAAACCTGCGCAAGTACTAGAAATAAGTTCCTAGGGTCAGGGGCATAGGACAGGTAGAGAATAATAGTGGGAGAGGAGGGGGACCGGAAAGTGGGGGACAGTCTGCCAAGGACCTTCCGTGCTCATTAAGGCGTTTGCCTATTTGTCCGTAGACCAGAGTTTCCCAGCATGTGCCTCAGAGCTCCAGACCTGCTGGATGTTGTGATCTATGACCAAATAGATGGGAAATGCTGAGAGAAGCCCAGTCATGTGGGTTTTTTCCCTGCAGGACTTCTCAGAGCCTTCAATTTGCTAATTGCACTGTGACTCTTTAAGAGGGGGATAGGTGTGCTGAAGTTTCAGGATTTCTTTGACTACAAATCTCCCTTTTCAAGAGAGCTCCTTGTAGGATTGTGCTCTCAGAGCCCATTTTGGAAAACCCTGGGAGCTTTTGTGAGTTGGAAAAGGAGGAGTGTCATGATCTCGTTTGCACTTAAGGAAGCTCTTTCTGGGGCTATTCTGTAGGACGGATTGGAGGCCAGGACACCAGTGAGGGGGAGGCTGACTCCAGGTGACAGGGGACAGGGCCTGAACCAGCACAGCCTCAGCAGGAAGATCAGAGGTGGATTCTGGTGATATCTGTGAGAGGATGAGGTGGTGGGCTCGCTTGTATGAGGATTTGGAGGTGTAGTGAGTGCATATAATTTTATGTTGCCTTGGCATCCATTTTTAAATATAAATTTAACCTCCTCATACCAGAAGCAGGGCTCAGTCACCCTTGATACGGTTTTCCATACTCCCCACCCAAATGGCTCTAGCTGGTGACCAGAGATAAAGACTTAGAGGCTTCTCTCCTGCCTCGCAGGCGGGGCTGCTACTTTCCTTTAGCCAACTGTTCAGTCATTTGCCTGATAACTTAAAATGACAATCTCTCAGTCTCAGTGTGACCTCCTGGAACTGGTGTCTGCTTGCTTTTAAACCCACCAATTAAAACTTCCCATGGGAAACCTGTTTGGATAATGACCCAGACCCAATAAAGATGCTGGTCCACAGGTCCCCCTCTCTCCCTGCCTGCTCCCCCTGACCTCTGTACTCACGCAGTGTTAAGAGGGTGGGAAATCCAATTATGGCATTTGAAAGGTGGGGCCTATAAGGGGTGGTTAGATTGTGAGGACTGTGACCTTGTTAGTGGATTGGTCCATTCATGGAGTAATGGGCTTGGTTCTGANTCCCCCTCTCTCCCTGCCTGCTCCCCCTGACCTCTGTACTCACGCAGTGTTAAGAGGGTGGGAAATCCAATTATGGCATTTGAAAGGTGGGGCCTATAAGGGGTGGTTAGATTGTGAGGACTGTGACCTTGTGAGTGGATTGGTCCATTCATGGAGTAATGGGCTTGGTTCTGATGGCTTTAAAATGAGAGCAGCTGAGGAGGTTAGCTCTGTCTTGCACAGGCCATTCTCCCCATGCAACACCCTGTTCACTATGGGACTCTGTAGATTTGCCACTAAGAAGGAGGACCTCACCAGACGCATCCCCTGGATTGTGGACTTCCCAGCCTCTGAACTGTAAGAAACAAATTTTATTTCTTTATAAACTACCCAGTTCAGGTATTCTGTTATAAGCAACAGAAACGGACTAATAATGCAGGACCCATGCAGGTGGATCCCCCGCTAGCACTCTTCTGTCCAGACTTTTAGTGGCTGCTGGGGACAGTGGCTACCAGTGAAGTTGATAGTTTCATTCAAAACAGCGGGCCATGTACCAACACAGGAAGCATCTCCAGCAGGCAGAATTCTCAGGGGACAGCCCAAGGAAGGACCTTTCCATTCTTGTTCAGGGCTTGTTCCAAGTTTTGGGGCAGAAATAAGAGCACAGGCTGGATCTAAGCTGCCGTGAGAGACCCCAGGAAGAAGTGAACTTGGTTGAAAAGCCCGACACCCTGAGGCTGGCTGAGGAAGGGTCCCTTCATCTTAGGAAGTGGGGAGTCAGAGCCAGGAGCTGTGGTGGAGGCAGGAGGTGAAACCAGCAGCAGAAACCAAGAATTCTGATGCCTGCGGGGTCAGCTCAGAAGAGGAGGACTGTGCCTGAGTCAGGCAGCCTCTTCTGTTGTAAATGACACAAACAAACTCAGACTGGCTGAAACACAACATGGCTCACATAATGCACAGATCCGGCTTCAGGCATAAATTGATTCAGGACCATAAAACAGTGTCTCCAGGGTCACCGGCCCTGCCCGCTTCACCCAATTGCCTCCATCGTCCAGCTCCCTGGTGTGACCCCCCAGCATCCACCACCACTAAGTCCAGTGGAGAGGACAGTGCTCTTTCTCCATATCTCACACCAAAGTCCTGGGATTGAGGCTGGTCAGTCCTATGTAGCCTGACTTAGGTCTCGGGTCCATCCCTGAACCAATCATCATGGCCAGATCATGGGAGGCCCTGATTAGTGTGGCCTAGATCCTGCACTCCACCCCTAAGAGGGGAGATGGAGTTTGCTATCTATGAAACACATAGGCTGCGGCAAGGTCTCCCAGAAGCAAAATCAGGGTACTACTGCCCCGAGAAGCAAGAGTGGATGCTGAGCTGCAAAAGTAACAAATGCCTAGAACTGCCACTGTTTCCTGATTCCGGGAACCCCTGAATTCTGGGGACCCCTGATTCTAGGCACTCAGTACATGTTTGTGGGATGGATGAACCGGCCATCTTTCTGGCACCCAGGGAGAATAAATTATTTCCCACTCTGTGTCCCTCACCACTAGTCTAGCGTAAAATCTGGTCTTTGTCTTTTTCATCACAGTGTCCCTAGCACCCAGCACAGGGCCTGGCATAGAGTAAGGGCTCAGATAATATTTGAGTGAATGAATAAATTTACCTACAGGCAGAGCTCCCAGTTTGGCCACTTACCCTCTGAGCCTCAGTTTCCCCATCTGAGCCTCAAGCAGCCATGACAACACGTGCAGTGGCTCTGTGAACATGCACGCTGAGGGTGGATGGCACCAGTCCCAGCAGAAGCAGCCTCTTTCACTGATCTCCAACTTTGCAGGAAAACCCTAGTCCTGGCATGGAAGTGGTTAATTGCCCTCCTAAGCTGCTGGAAAACCACAGCTGCACCCCTCCCCCTCCCTTGCTTGCCAGATCCGGAATATAATTTTGCAAACGTCTGAGGACTAATCCATTTAGCAGAAGCTTCTAGTCCCAGGGAAGGGAAGTGAGGAGTTAGCAATGGCCCCCAGGAGATAAAGGTATGGAATATGTTCAACTCCTGGCTGGAAAACTACCGGGAGATGAATCTTCATGGCCCTACAGAAAGAAGGGCATTGTCACAGCCAGAGCTGAACAGGGATGGAAAAGACAGGGCTTCCTCAGAGGTGGTGAGTCCCCCATCACATCAAGCAGACATGGGGCACCCACTTAGAGAGGGTGGTGCACAAGGGATTGGAATGAGTGCATCCTTTTATCCCCAGATTCTTAGGATTCAGATCCAGTGACAGGATGTCTTCTGGGCAGTGGCCACTGTCTAAGGGCTGTACACATGCGACTCCCTTACTCCCCACAACAACCGAAGGAGGGAGTTATCCATAGCCCGATTTTGCAAAGAAGGAAACCAAATTTCTGCAGATCCAGTGACAGGATGTCTTCTGGGCAGTGGCCACTGTCTAAGGGCTGTACACATGCGATTCCCTTACTCCCCACAACAACCGAAGGAGGGAGTTATCCATAGCCCGATTTTGCAAAGAAGGAAACCAAATTTCTGCAGATCAAGTTGCTTGCTCCATGTCACTCCACTATGGGTAGCAATAGTGACAGGCAGCATTGATTCAAACTGTAGCCTGGGTGCCGGGCCACACGCCTTATTTACGTTAATTCATTGGATCCTCACAACTGTTCTGTGAAGTAGGTATTCTTCTTGCCACTTTACAGGTGAGGAAACTGAGGCTTGGAAAGAGTAAGTAACTTACCCACAGTCAGAGAGTGAGTAAGCAGCAGCGTCCAGACGCAAACCCCAGTCTGAGGTCTGCCTCCCACCGGCCTTTTAACCGGAGCAGCAGACACAAACCCAGGTTTTCAGGTTCTGTCTGTTCTTTCCACTGCTGGGGACAGCCAGGCTCCTGGCAAAGAGCCCCTCCCAGCAGCTTCCTCTCCTGGGAGAAGAACCAGAAGGACAAGGGGAAGCTGGACAAGCTGCAGCTATTCCTACCATCTCTTCCCACCCCTGAATTTCACCACCGAGGAAGCAGCTACAGCAGAGAAGGACTGGCCTTGTTTGGCAGGGGACCGTCCTGCAGAGAGTGGGACTCACAATGCCGGGGAGAAATGCAGTGGCAGCAGCATGGATCTGGGTTGGGGCACAGGCCTTGGTTCTTTAAGGGGCAAAGCCAACCACTCCTCTAGGACAACACAGGGAAGAGGGATCCCAGCATCTCCAGAGCACTTGCATGTCAGGCCCTGAGCACATTAGATC